GTCAGGGTGGGTTCGGTACAAATGGACATGCAACATCTATACACAACATCTGAAGAGGGTAAATAAAATAATAGGTAGTTTAATGCTTTAAGGTGTAGTCTGTCCCGTGAGCTTAGTTTAAGAATGTGCTTTGTTGTATTTGTAGGTGATGTTAGTGCTGAACAGCAGAGAACTCGAGGCTTTTTAGAATTCCTTTCGGAGAATTCAGACACGGATGATGCCGATAATGTCCACTCTGAACCAGAAGCTGAAACCATTGTGATGTCCTGTTACCATGGAATACAGAGTAATGGTACAGTACATCAAAATGGTGTAGAGAGATGTAGTCCAAGTGGCAGAACGTGAGTATTGTTGGCATAACATAAAATACTAGGTGTGCCAAATTACTGTTACTCAGCAGTCTTTAACAGACATTTTTTCTCTGTTCTTTAGAAACATGGGTGCCTCTCCAACAAGGCACACAGAACCAGAGAGGCAGCTCAACTGGAAGCCCATTAACTATTTCAATCAGTATTTTAGTTTGGACACATGGAATGAAATTGCTGTTTGCACAAGGGAAACATCAAAACTGCCAAACCTTGTTACAGAAAAAGAGGTTGCACAGTATGTGGGAATCCACATTGCAATGGGAACTCTGAAGGTTAGTACATGGCAACATTTGAAAAATGGGTCACTCCCAGAAGATGGTGACAAACATTGTCCTTGACATTTCAGTATTGGAAAAAGATTTTAAATAGTCAAGAAAATGCATAATTCTATAACTGTTTATTAAATTATATGATTTTGTTTGACTTTATATTGTTTTGCATGTTTTTATTACCATTATGTGTATTTGTCAAGTGCCCTAAAAAAAAAATTACACCATGTTTGACATTTAGGGTTTTTTTTGCTCATTTTGTTTTCTTGGGTTAAACATCAGTGCAAGGTTTAAAAAGTGTGCAAAACCTAGAATAATAAATATGAGGTTATGTTGAAAAATTAATTGCATTAAAAATGTCATTTATTTTGTCATGTTT